GTGATTGCCTGCTGCAGAGAAACTGTAAACAAGAGTCAAAACCACGGCACCCCTCCCATCACTCTTGTCCCCAGAGCACCTTTCAGCTTCCTAGTATAACCCACATGCAATCGAAAACTCTCATAGGATAGCAGGTGAAAGAAACACTTGAGGAAGAGGGCGAGAGACTGAGATAGGTTCCTGTCCGGGGTGGCAGCCGTGTCCTCTGCCATGAAATGCTCTGCACCTTGGTCTGGCTGGGCTTGCCCACTGATGTGGCTGAGCTGACCAACACTATAGGCATTTTTTTGTAACATGCATTGATTCAGTCAGCATGTGTTCGCTGAGCATCTCCTATGTGCTAGGTGCTAGCAAGACACTGTGGAAGGTCCAGAGAAGACTGTAAAATCCTCAAAGAGTGCAGTCTACCACCTGTCTGTCAGTCTGTCACACTATGGTGGCTTGCATGTTGCTATGATGAGGGAAGCTATGCCACCAGTATTTCAAATGCTAGCAGGATCACCCATGGTGGACAGTGGAGCTTCTAGACTAAAAAGGATTGGGAAGACAGGCCTGGAGATCTACTTCCAAATGAAAGTAGTCAATGGAAACCCTATGAATCACAACAAGTATCATCCAGTATAGCGCTGGAAGGTGAGCCCCCTAGGTTAGAAGACATTCAAAATACACAGTGACCGCAATAATGGACTGGAGAATACCAGCGATTGTGTAGATGGCTCAGGACCAGTCAATGTTTCATTTTGTGTACATGGGGTCACTATCCCAAGCAGAGCAGCGCACCCGTTTACCCACTCATGTCAACACAAAGGGACAACTAAAGCAGAGGTTACCTCACCTCACCTTCATCCCATTCCCATCTGCCACTGGATACATCACAATGTTCATACCTCCAGTCTCGAGAGGAGGGTCCTGCCAGGCAGTTGGAAAAATCTATCCCAATAAGTAGGAGTCAGTGGTCTTAAAGAGAATAACAGCAACAGCAGCAATATCTCATCTCCAACCGAATGCATTAAGGGCAGCATTTTACGATTTGAGCAGCACATTCACATTCGGAAGCTCCCTTTGAGTCTCTCACTAACCCTCTGAGACATTATAATCCTCATTCTACGGATGAGGAAATCAAGGCTCAAAGAGGTTAAGTGACTTGGAAAGGGACATTCAGCCAAGAAGGGTCAGAGTTGGGCTCCAAACACTGGGACTTTAATATCCAGTCCCCTGCTTTTTCCATTTCCAACTTGGAGTTGTTCTGGAAACGGCAGGACCAGGGGGTCTCCGCCCTACCTGAGACACTGATGGATTTTATAATAAAGTGTGTGTTCAGAGAAGCCTGCATCAGCTGGCATAACTGCGGGGAGGAAAGACAATGTCATTTCTGCAAGGAGGCTCCTCCCTCACTAATCTGCTAAAGGTCACTAAGGGGGAAAGAAACACCTGAGCAAAAGGAGATCAGCGGGCGTAATTAACTGAGACTTTCAGGAAGACAAAGATAAAATTTCATACCCAGTGCTGCTTAGGAAAAAAAACCAAGTTACCATGAGATTTATTAAGGATAGAAAACTGATGTAAAGGGGAAAAAATTATTATAAGTAAATCAGGCCTTCTTACGGTTAGCTACTGTCCAGTCGGCCCCTGATTCATGAGGACCCCATGCACAAAGGAACAAAACACTGCCCAGTCCTGTGCCATCCCCATGATCAGTTAGGAAGCAGACCGTTGTGATCCATAGGGTTTTTACTGGCTG